CGGAACGTGGTGGGGAGCTCATCCGCAAGATCTTCTAACGTTGTACCGGACAACGATTTTATCGGTTTTAGAATACGGTAGTTTTTGTTTCCAGTCGGCGGCTAAAACTCACATCATCAAACTGGAACGTATCCAGTATCGTTGTCTTCGTATCGCGTTAGAATGCATGCACTCGACTCATACGATAAGTCTAGACGTGTTGGCGGGCATGTTGCCACTATCGGATCGGTTTTCGGAATTGTCCCTCAGGTTCCTAACCCGTTGTGAAGTTATGAACCCACTGGTAATCGAAAACTTTGAAAAGCTTCTTGAGCTGAACCCTCAAACTCGTTTTATGTCATTGTACTATGTGTACATAACACTGGATGTCAGCCCTTCACAGCATAATCCTCATCGTGTATGCTTCTCCGACTTCGGCAATTCAGTTAGTTTTGATTTATCTATGACGCGGGAGATTTGTGGGATCCCAGAACATCATCGTTCCATGATTGTTCCGTCAATTTATGCTGCAAAGTTTGGCCAAGTTGATTCCGCAAGATCGTTCTTCACATATGGATCATTAATAGAGGCGTCCGCTGGTTTTGGTATTTATAACGAATTTCATAGCGCCTCTCGAATGCTTCAAGCTCCTTGTTCCGTATATGTTGCAGAGCTGGCGGCAATACATTATACGATAAAAACCATTGGCTCACTTTCACCAGATCACTACTTTATTTTTACGGATAGTCTCAGTTCTGTCGAGGCTATTCGCTCCATGAGGCCAGTGAAGCACTCCTCGTATTTTCTCATGAAAATACGAGAGCTTCTAAGTGCTTTATCTTTAAGATCTTTTGTCATCACCTTTGCATGGGTCCCATCTCATTGCTCGATTCCGGGCAATGAGAAGGCGGACTCGCTTGCAAAGGTGGACAAATCGCTTACGATGAATTTTTCTTCATTTATCGTCAACAGTCACTCGTCAGCTGGCAGAATAAATGGAGCGAAGGAAGTTTGGGACGATGGCTATATTCGATCATCCCTAAGGTGTCGAAGAGTCCTTGGTTCAAGGGGTTGGATGTGGGTCGAGACTTCATTCGTATGTCTCGCCTCATGTCCAATCACTACTCGTTAAACGCTCACTTGTTCCGTGTTGGACTGGGGGACAGCAATCTCTGTGAATGTGGACAAGGTTACCAGGACGCAGATCACATTATTTGGTCTTGCGCTGAGCATCGCGTAGTCAGATCTGAACTGTACGATTCTCTTCGGGCTCGAGGTAGACAACCTAATGTTCCAGTTCGGGATATTTTGGGTAGACGCGATCTGGAGTTTATGAAACTTATACATTCTTTAAGAATATTAAGCTTAGATTGTAAGTTTGACTAACCTTGTGTTTAGTATTTGTTTTGTTCGTGTGGATTTTTTTTTAAAGTTCATGTTTCAGGAATAATGAAATATTTGTATTGTAAATCATAACTCAAACCTCCTCCTCCCTCTCCCCATCCATGAAACTATAAATCTCTACTAACCTCGAGACGACCGCGAGTAATCGGTTCAGTTCCTTTAACTCTAGATTTAAGACATCAATTATGTATAACGCAAATGATAACTTGGCTCTGTAAAGTTTATTCAATTGAGCCTGTACAAATAAGTTAATTAATAAAAAAAAAATCCATCTGTTTTGAACAGTAGTGTGATTCAATGTGCAATGCACTTAAATTGATACAGTAAGGTCATCAACATTACAAACACTCAAAGTGTTTTTTTGTTACTTCATACGCGAAGTTTGCAATTTTCAGAGTTGGTTGGAAATGCTAACATGAAGCTTTAGTGTGATTATTTATTAGCTAGAGAATGATCTTTAGAAAAGGGTAGGTGGATAGTTCCGTTAGAGTACGGCAGTATGAAAATTGAATAGAAGTTGAAAATGAGCGAAGGGCCATTAATCTTTTGCCTGAAGACTTGAAGACATACTTCAAGTCTCCGCGTACATCGTACGGATTAGACAAAAGGTGTGCGTTTGACTTTATACTGTCGCATTAATGGCCCTTCGCTCATTTTCAACTTCTATTCAATTTTCATACTGCAATACTCTAACGGAACTATCCACCTACTCTCTTCTAAAGATCATTCTCTAGCTAATAAATTATCACACTAAAGCTTCATGTTAGCATTTCATACCAACTCTAAAATTATGTTGGTAAATACACTGGTTATCTACACTCAAAAAAGAAATCACATTTCCGATGGAAAATATCCATTAGAATTTCACATAACTTTCATGTGATCTCATAATTGGGAATCGCACCACGAAATCCCATGAACCTTATGTGTCCAATGAAGTTTATGTGATTTATCACATAGAATTCATGTGATCATGTGAATGTTATGTGAATTTCAGATAAAAATCATTAATTTTGGTATTGGAAAAATATCATGTGCGTTCCCAATGGAAACTATATGAAAACTTTTTTCAGTGTATATTTATAAAAATGAATTTCTACCTGTCTGACCCGGACTCGGTGCACCCCAACACCAACACGGTTTGCGCCAAAGCGTGAGGGGAGGAGGAAAAAAAATCAATTCACATAGCATTGAAATGGAAAACACGTTAAATCCATCTGCTTTGAACAGTAGTGTGATTCAATGTGCAATGCACTTAAATTGATAGAGTCATCAACATTACAAAGTTTCAAACACTAGAAATCAACGTGTAGAACACATTCAACCATGGTGAAATACACTTAAAATAAATGTGATTGTCCATATGAAAAATAATATGTTTAAACACTTCGATCAGACGTGTGGACTTTTTTGAGTGTAGCCTCGGGCAAGCAATGTTCCCGCATATGGACTTACGCTTATATTCAAGCGATCAACGAGTTCTTCTTCTTCTTCTTCTTTCCTTTATTAAACATCGGTCTCTGTTCCGGAACCGACGGACATCGATTGCCATCAGTTTGCAGCATCCCGAGTCATCTTGTCAGTCTTTTTCAACATCCGCTTGATAATTGCCCTATAGATATTTCTCGATTAGATGAAATTTGGTGGATTAAGCGCACCCCAAGTGGTCGAAGTACTTCCCGGTTGTAGCGGTAGCTTACCAAATAAGGCCAAAACTTCACAGGTCATTTGTATGCCTTAAAGAACCATCGAATGCGTTTTCCCTAGCACTCTTGCTTGTACACGTTCGAGTTATCTTGATTGTGACAAAAACCTGGATTTTTCATCCTCAGCTTCAAATCCCTTGTCAGATCATGAGTTTCCGTGCAAATTTATCAGCGAAAATGAACTCAAACTTGCCGGGTACATCTAACGGCATTATGAGGCCTACTCTGCGATGCGAGTTAGGTGTGGTGATTATTGTCACTTCATGTGAAGTAAATCTCCGTGCAAATCAAATAGAGTCACCTCACCTAACTCACGGCGCAGAATAGACGTGCAACAACGGGTGAACGAAATAATGGTTATCACAATGCCCTGTGTAAGGATCCTAACGACGCCCTTATTATTAATAAATGGAAAATGGAACGAAAAGGAACAAATGTGAACATAAATAAAACAAAGCATAATTTGATTGATGTATCTGTGATGGTTATAATTATAAAATCAATCTTGATTTTCATTTCAATATAGCTTGATTCGTTAGAGAATAAAGATAATCTACGATTTGATTTTCTCCTAATAATTTCGTTATCTCTTGTTTTGAACTGGGACAATCTTTGATCTGTATACTCAGAGTGCAGAGAATTTAGAGTTGTAAAAAAAATTCCGTGTAGTTGCTACTCCTTCTTTTCCGCTCTCGCCTACGCTCACTTCCTGCCAGCTCATTATTAGTCATTTAGTTGTCTACCTATCAAAAATAGATTTATAAGAATGATAATAATAATATTTGTTTGCTTCAAATTTCTTCCAGCCATGGGTATAATAGTTTACTTTGTTTTATTCGTAAAAAGAGAATAATAAGGAATATGAAAATTGTTTCTAACGTGTTTGCCTAGCGTTTCTTTTCGATTTGTTTTGCCTGCATTCGATTCCTCTTCGGAATTCCTTCACTACGCTAGTCAAAAACTAGTAAAAAAGTAGCTAAAGGCAAATAAACAAAAACAAATTAGGTTATCCTAGTAGTTAAATTAGAGCGCAAAAAAATAAATTATAAATATCCTCAATTGTTTAATATGTATATAAATCGTTTCTTGTACATACATGAGCTCACTTATTCTGCGCATAGTCCATTTATATTTGTTTGTTTGTCTAACTGTTGAAAGTAAAAAAATGCAATCTTTTACATAAAGCGAAATAATTTTCGCATTCTAATCAAATAAATTGAATGTTGCTCTCTTCTATTTTACAGAATAGATTGTTATCTACGTAAAAAAAAACTAATAGTCAATATTAAGCGACATATAATATGAATCCCTTCTATTTCGAGGGAAAAAGGGAAACGAATCCCTGTGCCTGATGACATGCTACTCTTTTTGATAATAAATTTCCAACTCCCTTGTTAAGAGTTGAAGTGCTAACAGGATCAAACATATGACAAATGTTGACGTTGTGTTGTTTAAACTATAAAAAAAAACTACTAAACTCGTTCTTCCCGTTTGTTTTGCTGCGACCACATGTTTCAGATCATGTGTGTCTATTGAATGTGTTTATAGTGAACCTTCTTCACTGATTTTTGTTTACCTCTCAACGTTTTCCTAGTCATTGATGTTGTTATAGTTCACAAAAAATATTACTCTTAGCTCTTAATTCTCACAATTTGTAAACATTTCTAACAAAAAGCGCTTACTCAGATCGCAAATGATAGCTATCAAATCGCAGATCGAGACAAAATTTAAAAAGAAATACATATAGGTATTACGATGATCTTGGGATTCTATCAAGTAGACCATTGTGAGTAGTGTACTTGCCGTTTGATGACGCGGTGCGGGTGTAGTAGAAGCTTATGACGGGGGTATATGTAACTTAGTTCTTCACATGTATTTGTAACTATATCGAGGTGCGATTGTGTTTTCTAGTTGATTGGCCAATTTACGCCTGTGATGTGACCGGCGTTTGACAGTAGGGACACTCGCGCTGTGTCGCCGCGCATGAATCGCACAGGACATAGTGATTGCATGGGACAAGTGTCACCGAGCGATTGTTTTCCTCACACTTCATGCACTTGGTTGCCGTTTCAAGATAGAGAATCTTTTCTACCTCTTCGATTTCAGCGCGCAATTTTGCCTGTTTGGGTTGGAATGAAAACGAACGGATTATAGCAGCTAGATGCAATATGTACACGGAAAAAGCTTACCTGAATGTTTTTTAATTTTGTCAAGGGCAATCCTCGAAGATCACTAGCACGAATGTTAGCGGTGCTGTTGCTACTTATGTTTACTTGTTCTAGCTTTTCCTTGAGAGCTTTGACGTGCGATAAAGCTTCATCTCGTTGTTGTTCAGCTAGCACGGTCTGGAAGAAAGAACCCGTTTTTCATTATACTGTTATACCATAATTGGCTGACAATCTCCAAGAGGCAAATCATACAGTTTCCACATCCCCTCATATTCGAATTATTATATCAATAAAGCAATATCCCGTGATGCGCTTCGTCGAAAGTTTTCTTCTGTTTTTCGTCGGCAGGAGTAACTGACGATAAGATAGATGTTTTTTTTATGTTATGACCATGCTTGAATGTATTTTTTACTTAGTTGATAAGGTTAAAATCATTGGGGCTTCATCCAGCCTGTTGATGTAAAACAACAATAAAACTGAAACGCAAACAACGGAATGGAAAATAGGTAGCTCAAGATCTTTTAAAACGTTTTAGTCTGGTGCATAGTTTGCAAACTTTAGTAATTCACAGAATCCTTTTTTTTTCTCAAATCTCCAGAAGATTGGTTCTCATTACAATCATGGGTGTTATAATAGGGGTAAGAGGGACATAAGTGAGCATCCCGTGCACCAGCTTGGACTTCCGGCCGTTCGGAACAAATTGGTTGGTAGTAGAATCAATATCATAATGATATTGAACCTACTACCAGTTGATTTGTTTCATGCAGATGGAGAACCAGAGCCAAACTGCGGGATGCTCACTATGCCCCACCTGTTCACTATGCCCCTCCTCCCTAGTATGATATAAATTGTATGCAGAACGTTAATTTTTTTATAAATTAAAGTTCATCCATTACTGGCACACCCTTCCTATATTAATGGTAGTGGAAAGGGATCCAATAAAGGCCTATGTACTGTACATTATTTGTTTCATGAATGGGCCTAACATAAGAAGGGACACATGAAGTGCGGTATATATTCATGGTGTTTCACTTAGTAAACACAATGAGCACTCACCTTCCGGTTGCTTTCTTCCATCTGGGCCTTCCACGCCTCGCAGGCGTTAGACGCTTGCATCACCTGCTCTTCCCAGTTGATCATTTGTGCATTCTTGTTGGCCAGTTCATCCCGTAACCGTTCCATTCCTGATGCCACCAGTGGTGACATTGAATACGGATTGGAATTGGAACCCTTAGCCGCCGCAGCGGCGATTGCTGCTACCGCTGCCGCCTGTTGCTGATGTTGAACTTGTTGCTGCTGCTGTTGTTGCTGTTGGGCGACAGCCTGTTGCATGTGATTATCGAACAACAGGTTCGTATTATTGTTACTAAGTTCATTGTTAAGCGAGTTTAGTTCCGATATTCGGCTGTTAAGGGAAATGGTGAAACGTTAGTATTATGTCACTTTCATACCGATGTAAAAAGTACCTAAGTTCCGGACTAGCTGATAAACCACCGTCGCCTCCGGTCAGAACGGGGGAAATTATGTGTGACTGAAAGAAGAGACTATCGGTGCCGCTGTGACCGAAGGAAGTGGCCAGTTTTGGCGCCGAGCTGCTGCCAATGTGATGTGTTGTGCTGTTTCCGAACATATTATCGTTCATGCCGAACAGATTAGAATGCGATGAGGGACTAAAATTGTTGCTCATCGAACTACCAGGAATGTTGACCGGTGCCGATGTACCTTGAAGAAGACCTGGCCAAGAAACAATGTTATAATACATGTTAAAGATCACGTACACAGTGTATCTCAAAATTGAGCGTACAGCTGTCCTTATATGTTAGAGAAACAGTTATACAAGCACCATTTAGAAGGATAGATTCTGAATTTTTGGCTGATAACCATCAAACATTTATCGATTGGGCTTATTTGGTTGAGTGTGTAGAGCTATTTTAGAAAAGCGCCTATTTATCTTGAAATACAATGAATCAAACTTTTTTAAGATTTGGCTAATTCGTAATCATAATAAAGATCCGTCCACTACAAACCAGCGTTTTATAAACATTTATCAAACTTCATACAGGCTCTGTCAATAAAGTTCAAAACTATACCGATAAATCAATAAATAGTTGTTCAACCACCATCCAAGATTTCAAAAATCTATCCAGTGTTACATACAATTATCCATTCAGGTGTACGCTCAATTCTGAGATACGCTGTATACGGGATTCCAACAGAAGGCTGAAACATGGAAGGCTGAATTCGAAAGGCTGAAATGATGAAAATATGTCATAAGGCTGAAAATTCGAATGGCCGAAAATCGAGAAAAAATGCCAAGAATTACCATAATCATTATAAATTAAAAGGACAAAAACAGGATGCCAAGAATAAATACTTCGCGAAAAAAGGAAATATTTCTCCTATTGTTTCATGGGTTGAAGAAATTATAACTTCATGAAGCCACTTTATTTAAATCGACTCGAGAAAAATTCTCCACTTTTAAGAGTGAGTGCTAACAACATTACTCTGGAAACCGATTACTGATGGTTGAAATCAGAATTTCCGCCTATTAATACTTTTCATCTTTTTGATACTAGTTCAGCCTTATGTGTTTCAGCCTTTAATAGGACCCCGTACATATTTAAATGGACACTAACCAGAGATTGAATTTCCCATGGGTGAACCGGGAATGTTGACCGGTGCTGAACTACTTGCTAGTAAGCCAGAGGATGCTATTCCAGCTGAAATTGAATTGTCTAGTCCATGAATGGTATCACGTCGCGTCATATCATCTTTTTTTTTGTGTATGTGTGGATATTTGTGTTGATATTTGGAAGTTGCGAACGTGAAGTATGGACGTAAACAAAAATAAATGGGAAAATGAAATAAGGGCTCATGGGTTCGGGGTGTGATCAGGCTTTTTTTTTCTGGAAATGTTCATGATTGATCTTTCCGAATAGGAACACCCCTAAATATAATAAATGTAAAAAGCACTAGATAACAACATATGATACTTACAAACTCCTCCATCCAATGAAGATGCAATATTCCTAAGATTGAATGTCAAACACATACGTTTCCGTTGCTCCTTTTCTAGTGGGCTCATCGTGAGATCGTTGTCGATAGCCATCATCTGAGAATGCGAAGTAGACAGAAGAACAATTTTAGATAATCGGTAGCTCAGTCATCATTACTCTACATCGAAATAGGCAAGAGACTTATCCCGCGCGACCCTAACGTTTGGGTAAAGTTATCAGTCTAGAAGATTCTACACAAAGCTACCAACATGAATAGGAAGTGCTCCTGACAAGACAATGTTTATGTTTGTGTTTTACTCCGAAGCAATCATTTGTCATGACAAGTTTTAGTTTAGTCTAGTAACGGCGAATACGAAAGAACGACAACTGATTCGAAGATATGCAACAAAGTTGTCCACTAGTTTCATTTGTTCTCCCACCTGTGCCCGAATCTCCGGTGTAAAGTCCGGAAAGCTGTTGGACAGCAGTGAGCTAGCAGCGGTGCCGCCGTTGCTGAACAACGTTGATTGTAAGCTACCGAGGCTGTTGTTGGCTTGATTGCTGACGTTACCGCCACCATTGCAGTTGGCGGTCGTTACGACGCCTAGGAGACTACTATTATTATGCTTTTGTTGTAGCTGTGAACCAGGTGCTTTGTTGTGGGAACTATGATTAGAGCCGATACTGCTGGTGCTCGCCGATTCGCTACTTTCTGCGCTACCATTCTGCAGCAGCTGGAAGAACGAGTGAAAATTCTGCGGTTCAAGTTCAAATGGTAGATTCTCCTGCCGTCCTCCGTCCAGATAGCTTAGAACACTCACCGCTAGCTCGTGTTTGTCCTTCTTACTGAGTGAGCAGCCAAGACCTCCCCCTCCCCCACCGCTATCTGGAGGCAAAACCGAAGATATCATATCGCTAAGAGCAAGTGCTTGGCTATCTAAATCGCGAGAAGATATTTCTTCAGTCAGTACATAAGCTGTGGAAAAAGAACAATGAAAAATATTGTGTTAAAACGTTTCCATACAAACTCTACCTGATAACTTACGTTCGACATGAGCAAAAGCGCAGAATACGGACCGAGGACAATATCCAGCCTGCTGAACATCATTACACTTGGTCGATTTGTAAATTTCTGGATGAAACTGCTGCTCAGTGCGTGTGTGACAGTACTGACAATTGTCACCAGCTTCACAATTGGCTGGCTCACCCCACTCTTCACCATGTTTTACGCTTGGACATGGTGTGGATCTAGAAGCACAATTAAGACACATTATTAGTATAGATTTTAATCTACTTTCCTCGCAAGCTCAGCACTCACCTGTACTTATACTTTCTCGGGCTGCGTCTTTTGTCCTTGCTATTGTGATACTGTGGACAAGCATAACCCTGCCGACAAAGTCTAGGCGGCCGCTTGCATGGCTCTGTCTTGTAGTTAGCCAATACGTAATTTGTGTCCTGCCACTTTGGATCTTCATTCATTAGATTCCTCTCCTTGTCTAGAACGTTGGGCCCATTTAACGATTCACCACTAGCTTCGGCTGCTTGCATTGCCTCCAGCTCTTTGATGTCATACACCGGAGGGCGCTGATCGTGGATTCCATGGGCGAACGCACAGTGATGACCATTCTTGACACAATATCCACGTGCATCAGTATCGTGAACGCACATACAGGTTTTATAGTAGCGCAGGTGATATCGCCTTTCAGTGTCGCCGGCCGTGCGGTGCAAAAATGGACAACTGCAAAGCAGAAAGAAAATAGAGATAAAGCGTTATTTTTTTCTCTATAATAGTTCTTGAAAAGCCCACATAGGTATCAAATTTAGGTTGAAACCCAGGTGGTTGTGCTACATTACCCCGAATGCCGCCCATTGTTTTCACATTCGGGGTGATGGCTTTCGTGGAAATGAAACGCACAATCGCCCTATCGCTATCAAAATGTGTTCATTCACTGCTCATGGATTATTATTTTATTTTAATCTTTTGCAGAATAGCTTTGATAATTCGAAAGAAATAAAATGTACTGTATTGTAGATAGATTTGCATAATGCCTTGAAGGTTGTTGGACATGGTATGTCCATCCGGCAAGCGGCAGCACAGCATGGAATACCAGCTGGAACACTTTGGGACTAGAGTCGGTGTATAATGAGTCACGCCAAGAGAAAAACAGTTGAACTCGCATCACGGTTTCTGAAGGATTCCCTTTTTTTTCACTTGGCAACAGAGGACTTCTACATCAACTTTAAATGACTTCTAGCGAGAACCAAAAATAACGGCTGTAGTGAATCATAATATCAGTGATTTTGTCAAATTATCTTATCAAAAAATAGTAGAAATTCTCATTACTGATCAAAACCAAACGTATCCCATGACCATTTAATGCTCGCTGCATGTTTATGATGATTTCTTCAATTTTATTTTATATTTCATTGCAATACCTTTCGTAGACCTTTCATAGCATCGTAATGTTTATTTACTTTGCACGATAGGTAGCCGATTTGACAGTTCAATAGGTAGACTTGGCTTCACTCTTGGCGTGACTCATTATACACCGACTCTATTTGGGACAAGCTACGGGGAAAATATCCAATCGGCTTGTTAATAGGTCACTTCTTTTGCCCGAGCGGGATTTCCTGTTTTTTCGAAGCAGCTTAGGATCAGCGGTTAGGCGAAATTACCAATAATTTGTATGGACGATTGCCTACGATCAGAGAGGCGGGTCTAAAACCTCTCAAAATCGGTCTACGTAGTTTATGAACAGCCCCACGGAAGAAAAGTTTGAATTTTGTGAAAGAACGAGCAGCAATAGTGGCCACTGAATTTCATTTTCCTGAATTTTTCCCGATTTTCCCTATGTTCCTAAATCTTAATTATTTCCAGAGGCGTCGCGTGCCTCATTTTTTACACTTTACCACCATATATTAGTAACGTTTGTCTTTTTAAAAAAATTGACAAAAATTGTCGATTTTTCATGGGTTTACCTTCACCCGCACTGACGAAACTACCCATGCAGCATCAATCATAGTAACCCATGAGACAGCAGACAAAATTTGACAGCTCTATCAGTCGAACTCTAACCGTGATGGCAAAACAGTGAAGCAACTCCGTTCAGAAGTGTGTGCGTTCAAAGAACGGCACCCCGCCGCGTCGAACACGGACATCGTGCGGCACTTTGTGGACGCCGGATGCGCCCGTTCCGGCAGCTACAACATCTTGGCACTATTAGACAACAATCAGAGCATCGAAAGAAAGCCCGGTTCCGGACGGCCGACGATCCTGAGCGACAAGAAGCTCCAAAGGATGTTGAAGAGGAAGACCGAGGGAAAAGTGGGTACATCGCTGCGTGCGCTTGGCCGGGAGGTCGGTGCAACCGGCCAAACAGTGAAAAAGTACCTGGCGAACATGAACATACATGTCAGGAAGCGGAAGTCACGTCCACTGGTTTCGGAGCTGCAGGCAATGACGCAGCGGCAGCGGCTGAATAAGATTTTCAACTCGTTTTTCCCGGCGAATCGCGACGTGGCGGTGGTGATGGACGACGAGACCTATCTTACCCTGGATGGCAACGACTGGCAGGGCACTTCGTATTTGACTTCCCCAAGAAGGAAGTGAGCTCCGAGGTGAAGTTCATTTCACACACCAACTTCCCCAAGAAGGTGCTGCTGTGGTTGAGAATCAGCGAGAAGGGGATGTCAAGGCCGCTCTTCTTTCGCTCCGGACTGGCCATGAAGGGGGAAATTTATAGTACGAAATGCCTGCTGGAAGTTGCGTCGTTCATGAAGAAATACCATAAGGACGAAGACGCGGTGTTCTGACCGGATATGGCGTCGGCCCACTACTCGAAGCGATCGTTGAAGGAGAAGGAGCGGCTGAAATTCGATGTGGTACCCAAGTCGGTGAACCCACCCAACGTCCCTCAGCTGCGTCCCATCGAGAATTTCTGGGCCAACCTGAAGCGTAAGATCTACTCCAACAATTTTGTCGCGAAAACTGAGGAGGAATTGATAAATAAAACGAAGAAAGAATTTTACACGCATGTTTTCGTCCGCCATGGCGAATGTTCCGGTTAACTGCCGGAAGGCCGCTCGCAAGGGCGTAGAATTTTTTTTTGCAAGTAAGCTTAAATGATAACCTTCCATGGGAAATTGATCAAAAGAAATTATCTGTCTTAGCTTTTTTTTATCACCATTCGAAAAAGTCTATTTTTTAATATAAACGTTATTTGTTTTATTTTTAAGTGCTCCTCATGGATCGAGGGATATATTCTCTATTATTATATTAATCACTGACTCACTAATCACTAACAAACTTACATTTTGGTTAGACAGTTGCTCATCCCAAAACAAGAATTGGAATTTGTTTCAACACATCATCCTTCTGATAAACAGTACGGAAATTCAAGCTGAGCAAACACTGTTCAAGTTTTTTGAATCAGGCCATACTTTTATGGCCGCTCATTCATTTCACGCACCGGTTGAAAAAAAAATACGTTTTGAACGTGTCGTTCCAAGCCAAGTTTAATGTCTCACAGTACACATTGAACTTATTCAAGCCATCGTGGACATCATGAGAAAATTGGTTTTTCAAAAAGGAAGTTATGAGCTAGGATACGCAAGCAACATCAACAGTGAGAGCCTTAAATACTGCAAACCAGCGTTGCCAGTATTCCAGATTTATCTGGATTTTCCAGATTTTTAGTCGTCTTGCCAGATAGACAGACAGACCACGTATATTTCCAGAATTTTTTAATATGTTCCAGATTTTCTCAGATTTTTTAATTTGCTCTTTCCTCTAATAAAAAAAATAAAAAGCCAAATTTGCAACTTTAATTATTAAAGGCCATCCACATTGGACATTATTGGAATTTTAAGGTAATTCTGAAAATAGTTCACAGTTAAGTGTGAGACGAATTCTTTGTGAAATCAAAGGAGAATTTCAAGCTACTTCTGAGTAGAATTACATCCATCTTTGTGGGCTTCGGGGTCGTGCGGCGTCACCCATCATTTAGGCGTATTGTGAGTGCCACGAAGTGAGGGTTCGATTCACGCTCCAGCCGGGGCAAATTATGGCAACCTCAAAATTTGCCTACTGTTCTAATGGTAATGGGTGTGGTGTGTTTTCCGTTGTTTAATGTTAAATATTCAGTCTGTGCAACCTCTGGTTGAAGACGGTAACAATTGTCTTGTCAACTCTGATGACAATTGCATGGAGATTTTGTCAATATAGGAAATTTCAATCCGAAAAATAAATCATAGAAAATTCTTATCATGAAACTTAAGGAGTATGCTGATGCGAATCGCGAGAATAATTTCAATGGAATTCTGTCCAATGTTTCTATGGAGATTAATTTTACTAACAATTAAAGTGCAATTTCTGGGAGACTTTCAAAACCATTTTGGCAAAGTACTTGAGTACTTGGGTAATACTGAAAAGGATTTCAAACCAATTCTAACCTTACTTACAAAGCAGTTTAAAGGGAATTATCTGATAAGTCTGAGAAGAGTGTGACGGACATTCTGAAGAGTGTACCAAGGAAATTGTTAAGAATATTTTAAAAATTTCATAAAGAAAAATGGACACAAAATTGGGCCGATTCTTGGGAATTATTACCAATTTGAGGAAGTTGTGGGATTGAAGAGTGATTTATAAGAGATTTCAAGAGGTAATGATAAGAACTCTTAGAATGTTACTGGAAAATTTTAGATATTTTCAAGATTATATTAGGGGAATATAGAAAAGAAATATGATGGAATTCTAGGATGATAAATTGAACAAAAAAAAGGCCAAGATAGCCTGTAATGAGTTCCAAGTAAATTCAGACTACCAAAACATTTCATGGTCTGGGACGCAGGAAAAATGTAAATTCCGGAATTTAGAATCGTTGCAAGATCCTGAGACTTCAAAAATGAAACCACAGACAAACAGACATAACACTCGCAAGTTGTTCATCGAACAAGCATTTAACGGTTAATTTAAAAGTATCGTAGTTGGTAGTACCGCCACCTGTGGCGTGCATAGTCAATTCCCTTGCGTTTGACGTTTACACACTACCGCCATCTATTCAGTGTAGTGCCCACCACAGTGTACTCAGATGGCGGTAATGTTTTAGCGACGATGTTTTACAGTGAGAAATATTAAATGTGTTATGTCTGTTTGTCTGTGATGAAACTATGAGACTTTCATTTTAGTAATATAATAAAATTATTCTTTGGCATAATGGTCATGCGAATAGTGGAGCTACCCGTAGTTTAGGTAAACTGTGAGTGAGTTCCACGATGTTAGGTTTTGATTCCCACTTCAGCCCGGTGAATTAAGCTTCAAAATAAAATTGCCTACTGGTCTGTTGGGTGTTGTGGGTTGTATGCTGTCAAGAATTAAACTGTAAATCTGATCAACCTCAGAGTAATATTAGAATTATTTAGAACTAATAAAATCTTTAAATACTGGTACTGCGTCAAATAGTAAGGACTACATCGACTATTAGTTAAAAAAATCCATCCCATAAAATTTCCTTGATTCTTTGCTTCTCATTCTTTTTTAAAAAGTTACAGTTTAAAAAACAATTCTAACCATATTTTCTGCTGTTTTTTACCCACATTTATCTCAATTTTTGAAATGCTGGGTAATGGATGTATGAACTTTTTGGGCACACCGTGTTTATACTTTCCAACTTTTGGAAGCAATGTTTACAAAGTATTTACTTTATATAATTTATTTAAACATGTAATTTAAACCATTCT